TGCAAACATCATGCACACATACTGACCTTTCAATGCTTTCAATCCTTTCAACATCAAGGTCCTCTGCCTCATCACCACTATCCTGGGGACTGTCCTCCTCAAAGCTGGATTCGTTGTCCTCCTCACTGTTGCGACGAAAAGCAGCAACCATGTTGCTCCCATTATCTGTGATGATAGTGAGGACTTTTTCTTTTGGGATTCCCCATTCTGTTGTGCACTCCTCCACAAGAGTCGCGATAGCATGAGCAGTGTGTGGGTGAGCCATTTGCTTTAGGCTCAGTAGTATGTGTTCTGCCTTATTGTCGTCTGAGTTAAAATAACAAGCGCTAATTGCAAGGTAGGAAGCTGTGAGACCCTTTTTGGTCCAAATATCTAAGCCAATGCTTATTCTGCGTGCCACGGACAGTCTTTGTTTGAATTTGTCCTTTTCTGACAGGTATACTTTGTCCACAATGTTTTTAATTTTAGTTTTTTTTTGGAACAGTGAGCCTTTTATCAATCTGATCCATCATCTTGATAAAATCCTCACTTTCCACAGTCCGTGAAGGGAGGCCTGTTCGGCCTATCCACAGTGCTATGGCTTCCTCTTTGAAACGTTGGTCCTGAGAGTCAGGTTTGTATTTGGTGTGGGAAATTAAGGAAGCTTGTATTGCTGGCCTGTCATTGTTTCTGGGTGGCTGGTAGGTTGTTGGTGGTGGTGTATCTTCAATCTGGAACAGAAATTAACACAATGTCAGGATAGATGCACAGCATAACAGGAATTCCAAGTGTATAAGTAACATATAGGTCTGTTTTTTTCCTTAACAAAAACTAAGTCTCTGTAAAAACTACATTTGACAATCCATTTCAAACTCATACAAACAACCTAACTATCATTTTATGCAGGAATAAATTGCAGACATTTTTATGTGTGCATGCATTTTGGTTGTATTAATATTGATGCCAATTCAAATCAAAAGTTCCTTGTAATAGTAATGTGCAGATAAACAGAGCAGCATTTTATGTCACCAAATAAAGACATTGGGAGTTTGCATCCCAATCCCTGCAGTGGTTCCCCTAGCTATTTTGTGTATGAAAATCTAGGTTAAAGTTGTTCTGAATTATGTGTGGCGTATTATTTTTATTTTGTCTTATCCTGATAAATGGTTTCAGTTCGTTTTAGCATTTAGCATACATGTGTAGCTGCCGAGGTGTTTTGTGTTAACTGTATAGTTCACTTGCAGCTCTTAGATTACCTAAAGTGTCTGTCTGCTTTAATCAAACTTGCAATTTAACTGAAACTATAGTTGACAGGTGTTCTGAAAATTCATGCTACCCATCGAGATTTGCTACTTACCGGTTTTGCGCATGTGCAGACTCACAGTTTTTTTTTATTTTATTTTTTTTTTTTTACAAAAGGTACATTTTCCTGTTATAATGTATAATTTCCCTTTAAAAAAATGCTTACTACCATATGAATATTTGTATGATCAGCCAGCTGAAAAAGAATAACTGAAAGTTTCAGTTACTATGAGGAAAGGTGTACTTTGACAAGTCAAAGATTAATATTTTATGATAATTTTTACTTTTCACACCGTTTTAAAAATAAAAACAGTAGTCTACAGTATACAGTAGCTACTCATAACTTAGAATTGTATAATAATTGTATTTCATACGACTTTAATCGGCATTCTGTGATCAATTCGCGCTACGGTAGCATTTTTCGACAAGGCAGCAAAAATCGACAGAACACCGGCCAGTATAACACATCTAAGTTAGCATAAATTTAACTTCACATACAATTCTATCAACAAGTGGCTACGGTCGCTACGTGCTAAGAAGCTAACGTAACGTAGCTGGATACTAAATGCTATGAAAGTTAGCCAACATCAGTTAGTTTATCATTGGGACATTATAGCCGTTGATTTAATGTTACATTATAAACAACCACCACAAATCTTTCTGTTAACTTACCACAATGTCTTTGTGATGAACTGCGACGTGCCTCTTCAGGTTTGTTGTGTTTTTTCCAGCTACCATGTGGCCACATTCCTTCCCTTCGACCAAAATTAAGCATTTTGTTTTGTTCTCCACTTCAATGAAGCGAAAATGTGTCCATATATCACGCCTCCTCTTTCTCCCGAGCCCCGTGCAAAGCATGTTTTCTACTTTTAACCAACCTGTTGCCGTCTCGCCGTGAATCCAGCTCCTGTCTGCTGTGTTGTGTAGGCTACTCTGTGCCCGCCCGCTCCAGGTTTGAAAGTGGGTGTGTGTGGCGGAAGAGCTGACGAGGAGGAGGCGGAGGAGGAGACAGGATTTGACGAAACCATATCATATAATAATATGTAATTTTCGTCTCGTCTTTGTTCGTGAGCTAAAATGTCCATAGATTTTAGCCCAGTCTTTATTTACCGAACTGCATTTTCGTCCCGTCTTTATTAGTCTACGAAAATTATTTCTGATTTACTCCCAGTTATTGTTTATTAGTGGGGATTTTCGTCTCGTCTCGTCTAGTTTTCGTTCCGTGAAAAATGTGCGTTGACGAAAATATTTTCGTTTAGTTTTCGTTAACGAAATTAACACTATCTGTGAGTGGTGTGTGCATCTGGCTCCTCCTAAATGGGCATCCTTTACTGTGCTGATCGGACAATCTTTGGTGGTTGCCACCGGGTATTAATTAGCCCTAAGAGCATAATAATCCTTTATACACAACAACAATAAAATAGCACAATGACAGGATTGATATGGCACGTTGTAACAAATAAATAAAAGATCTTTTTCACAAAAGTTATCTTGTGCTTTTGCCTCCGGCATCGTCCTGTCAGTCATCGCACCTCACTCTAGTCATGTGACTCCTGTGGCTCAACTTACCTCAGTATCTCCAATTTACACTTTATATTCTTCAGTCCAGTGCAGAGCAGCTTCACTCCTGAATCCTGCAGCTTATTATTGTTCATGTTCAGCTCTTTCAGATTGGTGTCTGATCCAAGAACTGCAGCCAGAGATGAACAGCTTTTGTCTGTTAAGTTACAATCATTTAACCTACAATAAAGTCACAACACAGAATTAGATTGAACACATACAATACATTTTCTATATACTAATATTAATGAAATTTTCCACTTATTTTTTACATAAACAGCATATACAGCAAAGAGGCCGAGTTAAACTAACATTTACCTTTAAAAACTACAATTTCCTCAACAATAGTGTTTTTTATACAGTGACAAATTTCCAAGACAAAATGAAGCATGTTTGAAAAAATATTTGTGTAAAGCTGTTATCTATAGGATATTTTCTCTATTTATGTCACCTGATAGAGTTTAGGTTCTTGCCAGTGTTGCCTCTGTCTTTCTTAATTGGGGACACTTAATATTAGAGGTGTGCACAAAAACTGATTCACATTTGTATCGCAATTCAAGCTTTACCGATTGAAAATTGATTAATAGAATTCCAAAAAAAAGATTCATATATATATATATATATATATATATATATATATATATATTAGGCATAACATTTTAAAAAAAAAAGTTTGGTTACGGTTGGATGTCAGTTGAGGTCATGGGTTGGTAGTTTTTTTTTTGTTTTTTTTTTCTCCAGTGGCAGCAAGGGATAGAAAGGAAATTATTTTTAATTTTTTTTATTTTTATTTTACTTTACAGTAGCAATGGATAGGCGACTCTGTTTTTCAATAACATAGCCTACTTGTACATGTACTACCACCTTGTGTGTCCCAGCATGTTACACACACACAAGCTGATTTTAAATGTGTATTATTTCTTCCCCAAGCTCATAAAATAAATTTGGGTCGCACATAAATTGACAGGGTCGGTCGGAGACTGGAATTGAACTTTTTTTTTTTTTTTTTTTTTTATGCCTTAGTGGTGGGCATAGATTTTTTTTTTTTTAATCTAGATTAATCTCACGGTAATCTTGGAATTAATCTAGATTAAAATGGCTCATTTGAATTCATGAAGGCATTCAGGCATTGAAGGCTTTCAGAATATGTATGCTACCCAAATAAATAACCTTGCAGGTAGTTTGTAAGATGAGCAGAGGCGGAGCTAGACTCTTCATCATGGGGCTCTCTGCTACCATATGTAATAAAGTGTCACTTTATTTTATTTATTTATTTAGATGGGACAATGAACGTACAAACATAGTCGAACGTAAATATGCCGGATTTAGCACAATGCTAATTTCCATCCGTTGTCCCCCAACACAGACAAACACAATCCAAAAATAAATAGAAAAGACACACAATATACATATCAAGAAAACGCATGTAAAATAAAATACACACACACACACACACACACACACACACACATATATATATATATATATATACATATATACACATACACACACACATATACACATACATTATACATATATATATATATACACATATATACATACATACACACATATACACAAATTAAGAATAGTGATAATCATAAAAGTTCCTATAGGCCTATCTTATAGAGAATATATTGCAGTACCCATTACAAAAACTGCTATATATGTAGACATTCAAAGATGCTTATTATAAATATTTAAAATAAATCTACCTATCAAATTCAACCTTTATACCAAATGATTACATTTTTGATGTTTGTTCAGCCATCTCTTAAGCTGTTTCTTAAAAGAAGCAAAAGTTGGGCTATCTCTGATTTCCTTTGGCAAACTATTCCAATGTGTGCAGCCTTTAATAGAGAGAACATTTTGTGCAAACGAAGATTTTCTAAATGGTACTTCACAATGTCAATCCCCCCGGGTAAATGATCTTGTCCTAGTCTCACTATTTTTCTTTTTTATAAAATCCCCCAAGGGCGGTGGGGCGATTCCATTCATAGATTTATAAATTAGGCAACTATTTTTAAAAATTTTTAGGTTTTCAAAATTTAGGAGTTGGTACTTCTCTAGAATTGGACAAAGGTGAAACGATTGTGGTTTCCTGTCAAATACCTTGACTGCTTTTTTATATAATTGATTAATGGGTTTTAATGCAGTAACTCCGGCAAAAGACCAAACTGTGAAACAATATTCAATATGGGAAAAAATCATACAATGAAGATAAGATTTAGCAGCGTCGGTTGTAATATAGGACCTAATTTGTTTGAAATTTTGTAAATTAAATTGTATTGTATTTGTTACTTTTTGTATGTGCTTTTTGAAAGTGAGGTTTGAATCTAGTATAACCCCAAGGTACTTGAACTGGGCTACCAACTCCAATTCCTCCTCTCCCAAAAACACGGAAGATCTATTTCCTGCTAGCGATTGCTTCGTGAGTGTCTTAAATTCAGTTTTTAAAGTATTTGACTTCACAGAGGATTTTTTCGTAAACATCATCACCACGGTCTTTTTGGTATTGAGAGTGAGACAAATTTGATTTAGCCAGTTTTGAACTTCAGTTAGTGATTTTGTAAGATTTGCAGCTATTGTCTTTTTATCTTTTCCATGAATGAAAATCACAGCATCATCTGCATACATCTGCACATTGCAGTCCAAACAAATATCTGGCAGATCATTAATATACATTGAGAACAATAAAGGACCGAGAATTGAGCCTTGTGGAACTCCAACATGATTACTAAGAGAAGGAGATTTAACACCATCTATATTAACACACTGTTCTGTTTGATAAATATGATTGAAACCATGATATAGCATCTGTAGAAAAATTAAAATGTGTAAGTTTGGTCAACAATACTTGATGGTTGACTGTATCAAACGCCTTTTTAAGGTCTAAAAATACCGCTCCTACACAATTACCCCTATCCAATAAATATTTAATCTGTTCGATCAGACAGCAGTTTGCCGACTCAGTGGAGTGATTTGGCCGGAAACCGAACTGCATACGGTGCAGAGGGGTGAAACCTTTATCCAGATGTTCAAAAAGTAGTTTTGCTATCCACTTTTCAGCAACTTTAGAGACTATTGACAGGATGCTAACTGGACGGTAATTGGCAACCTGTGTTTTTGATCCTAATTTAAAAATTGGTGTAATAATGGCCTCTTTCCAAGTTGATGGAACTACCCTTTGACTGATTGATTGATTAACCATAAAGGTAATAGGTTGTACCAAAGCATCGTTATAAGTTTTTAAAAAGTTAGTGTCAAGACCATGGGCATCCCTAGCTTTGGAGTTTTTAAGGGCAGCAATGATCTTCTTTACGTCTACCTCCGTTATATTTTTTATCTGAAAAATAGGCTGATCTTCATTTAATGGTCGAGGTAAAATTTTTGAGGAAACGCAGGGCCTTGTTATTTCAGATATACTATCTATAAAATTATTGAACGTTTTTGCCACAGTTATGGGATCTCTAATCCGGACATTATCCACAGCTAACTCAATGGCTTTAATTTCCTTTTTATTGTGTTTACCTAATAATTTATTTAAAATTTGCCATGTTTTTTTCCCATTACCTCTTGTACTTTCTATAATGGAGACAAAAACGTCTGCCTTAGCTTTTCTTAAGGTTTGTGTAAATTTATTACGTGCGTGTGTTAATTTTTCCCTATCAGTGGACAAACCAGATTTCAGATATTGTTTAAGCAATACATCTCTTATTTTTAATACATTTTTACAAGTTGGATTTAACCATGGTAGATTATTTTTCTTCCTAGCCCTGCCACTCCCCCTATGGGTAAAGGAGGACATTACCTCATTAAGCTTGTTGTTAAAGACATTACAACTGCTCTCTATAGACCATTTCACAAGATGTAAACAACACTGGTCCAGAAGCACTTCCTGTTTCAGTTTTTTAACACTACATAAAAGCTGGGATAAAATACAACCAACAGAACATTTAAAACTGAATCAAAAAGTTAAATAAACATCTTTAAGATGTTTTCTTTACATGTGAAATAAAGAAAACAGTTACAAACTGAAACAGGAAGTGCTTCTGGACCAGTGCTGTTTACATCTTTTGAAATGGTCTATATCATTTGAGCAAAGTATTGGCTCCCAATCAACCATTTTCAAGGCTGTATTAAAATTCTTTGTTTGATTCTTAGGTATAAAATTTAATTTAACATCAGAGGTAGAGCCAGACCGATATATCAGCAGGCAGATATTATCGGCCGATATTAGGCATTTTCTAAAATATCGGTATCGGCAGTTATAATGGCCGATAAATGAATATTTAAAAAATAAAATAAAAACGGACGAATCACGTTTCAACCATGTCATGAGTGTTGTCAAAAAGTGCAGGTAAAGGGTTAAGCAAGCTGACATTGTAATTATAAGGTAGCTTATAACTATAAGGCAATGTAGGGACTAATTATTATTTTATTTATCAGAACTTCAATATATTTTGATGTTCCTCCGTTCTGTCGTGACAATAGAAACAAGTTTCTTTTTGAAATGCATTATCACATTATTTTAATTAAAATTAAATAAATAACTAATGTTAGGGAAATCTGTTAATATTTTGTTGCGCGTTTCTGAAATAAAAATAATATCGGCCGATATATCGGAATATCGGATTTTAAAACCAACAAATATTTGTATCGTATCGGCCTTAAAAATCCTTTATCGGTCTGGCTCTAATCAGAGGGCACTATTTATTTTTAGAAACCTCTTTTTTGAAAGCTTCCTTGAAAATAAAATCATATTGTGGTCTGATAAACCAGTTAAAAAATTAAAGGTCTTAATAATTCGGTTTGGCTTATTGCTAAATAGAAGATCTATTCTTGTCTGAGAGTTATTTGGTATTCTACGTAGTTGGCTTTTCAACAAGCTGTTCTAAATCGAAATAATCCGTGGATCGCTTGAGATTTCTCCTACCATGTTTATCATCCCAATTTATATTAAAATCACCTATAAGTATAATTTCCTTATTTTGGTCACAGGATTTCAGCACGGTTTTTAGCTGGTCATAAAAATCTACCTTCATGGATGGGTGTCGACATATTAAGATAAAAGACATTTCTCTTGATAAAATGATTTCCACACCAACACAGTCAACTGCAACATCAGTTGACCACTCCAGCCGTCTACAAGTCCAGGTATTTCTAACGTAGAGCAATACTCCGCCACCTTTGCCTTTCTCCCTGTCCTTTCTAAACACCTGATACCCAGGCATAGCTACCAGTGCATCAGCAGATGTTGTCTTCAGCCAAGTTTCAGATAGTCCTAGACAATCAATATTTGAATCACTTAGAATGTGCTCTAGTTGTTCACGCTTATTTCCGAGACTTCTAACATTTATATGTCCACACAGCAATCCCTTAGGTTTATAAGTAGAGTCCCATATTGTTCTCGATTGATTAAGAGTCTGGAATATTTTAGTTCTGCTATGTTTTTTTAGGACAGGGTTTCTGGGTTTTCTGAGTTTTACCTTTGTGCAGTCATTGTTGTTTGAATAGTTACTGCATACCACCAGTGAAGATAGCCTTGGCACAGAACCACTGCTAGCCGTTGATGGTGTTAGATCCATTGATATTAGTGATGGAAAAATTGCTTGTTGAGCCAAGTAAGCTCATGTTAATAAAACACAAAGACTATCTCGTTCTTTTCCTTTTAATGCGCCCGATTTATATTTTCTCTCCATTTTCGTAATTATTCTCTACATTATACAGTCGCACCTCATGGCACCCACTGTACTCCTGAGGCAAGTTGGCCTGCCTTATGCGCTGTGTTTCGGTTCATTTATGACTCACAAGACAAGCTTCAGTTCACTCGCTGACGCCTCTGTGTCGTGATTATCTATTGTCTGCTATATTTAGTTCTTATTTATTAAATCCAGGCAACTGGTTGATGAAACATTGATTAAAATTAACATACAATTAATACAAAACGAAATTCAACTTAATGAAAGGCTTTGTGCTTTATGTTTAATGTGAAAGTTTTAAAGCAGTCTTTCAGTGCCGCTTTCAGAGTGGTCAAGTCCGTAACGGGGAACTGTCACATAACATCGTTTTTCCCTCATAAATGTGTACATAAAAAATAATACAAAATTTATATTTTATGTTCCGTGGAGAGCCAACCTTTCTTCAACTGATGGGTATTATTACTTTTTGTACACCTAAAGGTTTTTTTTTTTTTTTTTTGTGTCACGTCCGTTACAGATGTGTAGTTTCCTCATATTAAATATAAAATGCATTGACTGATATTTTCCTAATGTCTGGATAAACAGATTGGTATTAAATGCCCCTTACAGTGCAATTCGGCTAGGTATACATCTGCGCTAAAATATCAAGGTAAAAGTCATCATAGCTTGTATAGTATGGACCCAGCTCCCAACCCAACTTTGAGAATAGATTAACGGCAATATTTTTTTATCGCTCGATAAGAGTCTCACTTTAACGCAGCAAGTTAACGCCGATAACGGCCCACCATATTATATTTTGTAATGGCGTGCAGGGGCGAAGTGGCAGTGGAGAGTCGTAGTGTTTCGAGGCCGCGAGGGCCGGTCTGATAATAGTGATAAATTGTAAGTTCTTAGCAACAGCATCCGGCGGACTGGTGTGCGGCCGCTGCCCGCTGGTCAAACTGTGCAGCCTCTCTGCTCAACCCGTAAATGAATCCATCGATCTGCATATTTTGTTTGAGTTCTTAAATGGTCTAGTGCTAGATCTTTTGCCTAGCGTGTCAGAAGTTGCAGGTTATAATCTGCACTCATATAGTTTTTTCCTCTCTCTCATCAAAACCGAATATGTTCATCAGTGGTTACAGTCTATATCAAGCAGGGACACATTTATGTGCATTTTATTTTGTGATTTCATCAGTGATACTGCGATAGAAGAGTGCGTCCGAGTAAAGACTGTACGTGCACCACAAGAGTGTAAGGATTTTGGCCAGGCGAATCAAATCCACCCCCAGGGGTTTTCTGAAACACACACACGCACACACAAGCCTTTCCCTTCCCCCACACATCGGAATGTGTGGAATGTTTTTGAACAAAGAGAAGGACTTTTGGTGTTTAAAAACATTCAACAAAATGTTTTCAATGGATTTTATGTATATGTGTCTTCCCCATGTCACAGTGAAATAACTTTGTTTGGTCACAGCGTAAATAGAAATTAAAAATACCTTCGTCATGCATTTTAAACATAAGTGTATATTCCTTTGATATAACATAATGTTCCTTGATATCTCTAGAATGCTTATTGAATGAAACGCTCGAATATGCATGGAGATGTAAAGTAAAGGGTATTTTTGATTGTTTTACTGCCAATGAAGATCAAAATTGTTTTACTATAAAACCCTCATTGAACACACCCCCTTCCATGAGAAGCACGCGCTGAGGAACAAAGGACAATAAACCAAGAGTTCCCGCGAGCTACGTCCATCTCCCCGATTGGCTCAAGCCAACAGGAAAGGGATGGATTCCGCCAAGGGGATAAAAGGAGGGCACAGGCTCCGCCTCTCCCCTTCTTCCTCTGACCCCCTCAGAGAAATATAATGCTTTCAATATCTCCTCACGGAGATCTGATCCGACCATGGATCTTTTCTTTTGTTCGTCTAAAAGTCTCGTCTTTTCCTCAAATGGACTACCAAGTTCGTCTCACAGGAAAGGAAGTGGACTTTGCCGAACTATTTCCTCGGGTAA